TCTTAGAACACTGACACTGTATGAGACATGCCCGTTGGCGAGGGAGCCTTCCTCAGGTCTAAGAACACTGACACTGTATGAGACATGCCCGTTGGCGAGGGAGCCTTCCTCAGGTCTAAGAACACTGACACTGTATGAGACACGCCCGTTGGCGAGGGAGCCTTATGCAGAGCTTCACAGCTGGTGCTGGTTTTTTTTATTTACAGGCTTAACTCAGTTTTAATCTATCACATAGGACCTTCTTGAGAAAAACTCTGTCAACACTTACATAGTCTTCAGAAATCAAGCCATAAGTGATGACTATTCTGAAGCAGGAGCTCTGCGGCCGGCTCCTACCGATGATGGGGGCTGTCCCGGCACAACTCGACGTTGGGTCGGCGTGTTCTCTCCTCAAGTCTCGTCTGGGCCAGCTTGAGGGGGCTCTCCTTGTCCCGGATGGCCTTCTTCAGGACCTCAATGAGGTTCTCCGTCTGGAAGATTTCCTGGAGGGTCTGGGCATTGGGCAGAGTTGGCGAGCTGGGTTCAGGTATGCTTTTGGGTGAGAGTAAAGGCACAGATACAGAAAACTGGATTCCACTATTTATAATGGTTTCCTGTACAAAACAGTTCTTGGATCTTTGTTTTCTGTAACTCATCTATTGAGAAAGGCATTGCACCCATGAACCGTTAATGTCTGAGAAAACTGCATGCTACTTGTATGTACAAAATTCACTGCAGATGAGTCTCCAGTGAAGTCATGCAATGATGTGGAACTCCCTTCCTATCATTCCCGGCACCACGTCACACTGTGCCACTGCTCTAGGTATGTAATTCCAGTCTGACTAACTGGGGAAATCTAATCCTGCCGTTCGAAGGATTTCAGAAATGTTATTTTAGGCAGTGGCACAGAGCCGGCATTTGGGTTACGGACACAGAGGTCAGTCTCTCACCAAACAAGGACCAGATGAGGCACATAGTGTATAATCAGGGTGCATGCGGTCGAATCAGGACCCGTCAGTGGGTACGCAGTGAGGCAGAGCGAGAAAGCCAGTGGATATGCAGCCAGAGCTGATGGTGTTCCTCACAGCGGTGAATGCCATGCAGAGACCTCAGCGAGTAGTGTATGCTGCCTAACCGCAGACATGTATGAGTCAGCTGGCCGGCCACTGGCCCTTTGCTTTCAGTGACCTCATGGCGATGGCAGCATCATTGTTAGCTGGGTTAGCCGGTTACGTGCTATACAGCATGCGTCAAGGTCACGCCCTCCCAACCCACGAGGCTTTTGACGAGGCAGCATGTCTCTAATCCCAACCCACGAGGCTTTTGACGAGGCAGCATGTCTCTAATCCCAACCCACGAGGCTTTTGACGAGGCAGCATGTCTCCAGTCCCACCCCACGAGGCTTTTGACGAGGCAGCATGTCTCCAGTCCCACCCCACGAGGCTTTTGACGAGGCAGCATGTCTCCAATCCCAACCCACTTAAAGCTTTGCCAAGCCATGAAACAAAAAGCGACAAACGTGGATTTTTCCACTGGGCATGAGACCATGCACTGCAAGCCTTCTCCTCTGACTTATCTCGATGAGATAAGGCAAGAATCCAAATGTTTTTATTGCGACCAGACTCCAGGCATGTTAGCCTGTCAAAGTATTGACACTAGTTATCTTAAAGTGACTGTTGAGACTGTAAGACTTTGTTAAATATTGCAGTTTGGTAAGGTTAACTCTTTATTCATGCCTTTCTTGGGGTTTTGAAGGGTGATGCAATTCCACTGATCCAAATCAGCTGTGGTGGCTGTGGGTGAGCTGAGAAGATTTGATCACTGTGAAGACTTTTTATTTCCCCCACCCCTCCTGAGGTGTGCTGCCTGTAGACCCCCAAAAAATCAAAATATTCTGCCTACCCTGTTGCCTCTGATGCCTGTACTTCCTGATGTCCTCCTGGTGCTGCCCCGCCTTCTGCCTCTGACGTCTCTCCTGTCTGCCCAATTACTCTAACACTGTTCATCCTACCATCAGAAGCAGCACCAGTATCCACATGCCATCACCTGCCTACCCCCCACATTTAGACTTGAATCTTAAAATTTGGACAGTGTAAATAAGGATTTTGCCACATTGTTCATTTGACTTCCTCTGCTGGCCCCTGGAGGATGGGCTCCCCCTTTGGGTCTGGTTCCTTCAAAGGTTTCTTCCTTCTAGAGATTTTTCCTTGCCACTGTCACTGCAGGCTTGCTCACTGGGGGCTTTGGGCAGGAATAATGTAAAGCGTTTTGAGATAATGTAATGTTGTGAAAATGCGCTATGTAAATAAAATTGAATTGAACTGATCACTGTCCCTTTAAATATAGGAGACTACACTGGAATGACTGGAATGTGCATGGGGACCTGAGGGATGAGTGGTGCATCAACAGGAACTGCTGTTGTGTCTTGCTGGCAGAGTTGTAGGCTTGAGTCTGGCTGCAGTGGTGAGTTTGCATGGATCTGCATGTTCATCTTATGAGTTTCCTCTTTCCTTATTGTAACACTTACTATTCAGAAAATAACGGATGACCTGAGGATTTCCCTGTGACGTCATACGTGATAACGCTGTGATTAAATGGCATGGTGCAAGCGAGAGGAGCTGGAAAAATGTAATTGACTATCCAACGAGGTGTGACCTTGGCCAGGTGGGTCTGCAGGCTGTTCTTGGCCTCTGCGATTTCAGAGATGCGGTTGGTGAAGGCCACGTTGACGCTGTTGAACTGGCTCCACATTTCATTGGAAGTAGAGCTAAGCAGGAACTCGATGTCGTCGCGGAGCTTGTGGGAGGCCGCCCGCTCGCTCTGGGACCGCAGGATGTTGTCGTCCGTGAATTTTGACCATGAGTCGGGCAGGGACAGCCTGTGTTGCGAAGCAGAACCGGAGGTGGACATTTGAACCTCTCACTAAGTCACAGGGAGTTTCAGGAAAATGGAAGAAGGAAAATAAAAGCAAAAACAACATCTAAAGTAAGACAGGAAACTGGCACCCTACTGTATTGTGTCTTTGATATGTCCTTGGTCTTTCGAGGAGCACAAACTCAGATATGCTGAGCCAGATTAAACCAAACAATGTCAGTGATGGACTTTCATGTATTTCCAGAAATCCTAAAAAAGTCACTCCTCTCACCCAAGACACTATCTCTTCCAGTCTCTACCCAATGACAGGATACTCTGAGCCATCAAAGCCAGAACCTCCAGAAAAGGGGACAGTTTCTGTCCCACGACAGATACTGGTCTTCTGAGAGCAGACCCTTTGCACTTTAGTCGGCTGGGATCTTATACCTCCTCATAACATCACCCCTGTCGACATACAATCGCTGTGTATCTGTTTGATTCACCCACTACTAATTCATTCATTGATTTTTACCCTCTATTCCATCCCATGCTGCCACTAGACTGTAGGCAGGCAGTCTAGTGTTAAAAGTCTGTGTCCATACTTGTAAAGGTACATGTTCCAGTGCACATCAACCAAACAAATCCCTTCCACCCACTTTGTGTACCCGCTTGTCACAGGGTTCCTGAGCCTATCCCAGAGGATATAGGTGCTAGACAGGGACAGGGCAGAAACTCAAACCCGGGTCTCAGAGGTGTAAGGCAACAGTGCTAACCAGTATGTCACTGTAACACACCCTCAACACCGATTCCTTGCACGTTTAATGTACTTGGCTAGTAACAATATTTTTGATAGCTTCTGGACGGGTTCCCTGGCATCGATCTCCTCATGTTGGGCCCACTCACGAGGGGTCCAGCCGCTCGATGCCCCGGTGGAAGCTGATCCCGTCCGAGGTGTTCCTGAGCTGCCGGCAGCGGCTGTCGATGCGCTGGGCGATGGCCTTGTCGCTCAGGTCACGCTCCATCTCGTGCTGGGCAGCCCGGTTGGACCTGGCGAGACACAGCACAGGCACTGGCACGGTCCCGGGAGCCGCTCAAGGCCGGGCCGCCTCTTTGGGCCCATTGTGACTCAGCCCACTCGCGGCATAGCCTGACCGTGAGTCATGTGCCGTGCCGCCCCGGCAGACCCCGTGGCCAATCCCCCGGTGACTCACGCAAGTTGGGCAGCCGCCAAGTCCGCGTGTCGCCTCATCCGCTGCTGACACGACTTCATGAGCTCCACTTCCTGTGAGAACCGCAGGAAATGCAAACGCTCATTCTGTTCCAGTTCCAGTAATGCTCATGGAAAGCCTGACAGACCACTGGTGTCTCACCCTTATGATCTCTTTCTCCACGTTATCATGGACCAGGTCTATCAACATCCTCTTCTCCCTGTGGTACAGGCACTCCTGCGCAACCTAGTAACCAAACGCACAGGTGACAGGCAGGGGAAACCTCTGACAGAGTATTATTACCCCCAAGTCTAGGGTAGAAATCCTGCTGGACACCAGCCCTCCAGGATCAGGGTTCCCTACCCCTGCTATTACCCCTGTTTATTAATATTTATGAAAATCATATTATTGTTTAATGTTTAAGTTAAGTTTTATCTCTTTATACATGTGTCCCCCGTTTTAGTCCTGGAACTGCTCAACCAAGCATTTCACTGCACACTGCACACTGCACAGAGTATAACTGTATGTGACAAATAAACTCATTGACTAACTGATTCAATGATGCTTGAATCATTGATTTCACTGAGGGAAACCAAAAATAAATTTCATTGGGGGTCTCCTACTGGTGGGGGGGGGGATCCCCTTGGTACATACTGGGCGATCTGCCTCCTCGAGAGCAAACTAATTTCATGGGGTTTCAGACCCAGAACCTGACTGCATGGCTACATGCCTGCCATCTGTGGATCGGTACCTCATCTAGACCCCCCAGGTCTCCTCACTGCATCTATTGGCTCAAGGTAGCCTGCGTACCTGGAGGGGTCCCTCGGTCTCGGCCAGCGCCCGGTCCAGCCTCCTCTTCACCTCAGCCAGTGCGGCGATCTCCCCCACCATGCTGTCGATCTCGTGGCTCAGCTCCGAGCGCCAGAAGGTGATGTCGTTGATGCGCTTCCCGATGTTGCGGCTGGTAGACTCCTGGCTCCGCCTCGTCAGCTGCTCCTTGTCCTGGATAAGCCGCACCGTGTCCCAGCGTAGCCGCTCGGCGCTGTTCCTCGACGACTCCGATTCGCGGTAGTAGCTCTGGTTGGACTTGTGCCAGTCTTCGGGCGTGTAGCGGGCGGAGAGGGCCGCCCTGCTGGATGGGTACAGCGTGGTCTTAGCCCGAACCAGGTCCTGGGGGGGCGTCTGGAGGGAGGCCAAGGTTGGGACAGTGCCAGAGCTCCTGAAGTACATGTTTGTCCTCCAGGGCTGGTCCCTGGCACTCTGGGTCAGGCCCACGCTGGGCTGGTGCCCTCTGTAGCTGGCCGACATGGTGGAGATGGCTGGGAGGAAGTGGCTGGTTTTAGGCCGGGCGTAAGTCGCCGTCAGCGTGGATCCCACCAGCTCCATGCGTCACTCCGAGCGAGCCGGCTGCGTCCTGGAATGCGAGGGAAGTAACGGCGGCAGTCATACGCCACGGAGCGAGCAGAACTGCGAATCCGGCGGCTTGCTGAGCGGCCTTTCCTGCCGTTCATTTCTCTCAGGCGTGTGCATGCCAGCGATTTATATAAACAGTAATAAACATTTCCACATGCTAACATCACCGGTAGTGCCAGGAAGAAAGCACAGGACTCACAGAAAAGAAAAGACTGAACTGTGTTTGTGTGGTTTTCCTTACGCTCTCATTCCCTCACACTGTAGCCTAATCTGTCACCCTTTAATAACTGAAGGTGCTTCACATTGAATCCCACAAATTCCACTGTAATTCTCAATTTACCGTTAGTTCCAGCAGGAAACATAATTCATTTGTTTTGCATTGTTTCCACTTTCCTTCATTGACATAAATAACGCAAACATCTTTCTTGGACAAACAAGGATAATTAGCTAAATACTGAATAACCCTGTTTTCAAAATAAATGCAAATATTTTAACGTATTTCCATCAAAGCAGCATTTGTACATTTTTGGCATTTTTTTGGTTTTGGTGTTTGGAGGAAAATCCTACTTTGTAATTATGTAATTTAGCAAGCGTCGCACATTACCCAATCTTAATGAGCTGTCAAAACAATCGCATTAATCAAAGCAACCGTATAGGAGACAGACAGATAGAAAACCGTTGCTTTGGCTTAATTTAAATTAACCTAATCTAAAACTTACGTGAAAAGGGGGCTTAGTCAAATATCCTCCCCATTCAACGCTCCCACGCTGCCTCGCCCACTGTACCTCACGCGCTACTTTTGCGCACACCTAAGCTGGACGCTCAAGAATTTAGGAAGGTATCGTCGGCCGAGCTATTGATTGACAGCATCGGTGCCCAATCAGGATTGGCATGTAGGAGCGGTTGACCAATCGCCGAATGGGGAGGGAGTTTTACCCGACGCAAAGTCGTCCAGAGTTACTCCGTTGCCACAGAGGCAGTTGCCCTTGGTAACATCTCTAATCCTAATAGTAGATAGTCGGTGCAAAAAAAAAACAAAAAAAAACGATTTTTTTAAAAGAAAAATTGTATGTGCGTGAACTTCTAAGGACATAAAGAGACACTAAAAGAAAAGAAAATATTTTTTTTCTATTGTTTTATTTCATATGAGGGATGGAGGATGTTCAGCCAATTATGCATGACCATGCTGTAAAACACACATAAATACCTATGCATGTTAGACCGCTGTTAGCCACAGATTCCCATGGTTTCTTACCTAGTTTTAAGTTTTGTGACGACTGCTGTAGTCAGTAGAAACAGCTGCTTATATTTCCCCTTTGTCCATTGAAAGCTAAAGGCTTATATCACCAACATGAAAGAAATTATTATTAAACACTGCAGTAAATATGAGTTATACATTTTTATTGATATGCTGGGATTGGTCACTGCAGTTACCTTATAGCTGTGAGGGGGGAGAGAGTTAGTGGCCCCCAAAATGGGCAGTGACTTCGACTTGAATGGCATCTAAGAGAGACAGGCAGACATCAGCCTGAAGGTGATGAAACATCCTGCTTTTGGTGTCCAAGCGTAAAGGAAGTAAGTCTAATACCTGCATCGCTGGCCAAACCCGAGAAGCCTGGGAGACTGGGGTGCAGCGGTGTCCAGTTTCAGCTCCCCGCGGGACGGGCACCAGCCCCCGCCTGCCACCTCCAGTGAGGCTCCCCACACTGGCTGGGCGCCGGGGACGCCTGACGGTCAGACGGTCCTCATGTGCGATAGGGGCCACAGCCCCCTGAATGTCCTGGGTGTGGTAACATCTGGCAGCAGCAGCTGGACAGGAAGGAAGGGGTGGGGGGAGGGGGGGCTGGGGGGGTCATAAATTTTGCAGCTGTGCGCACATGTGGAGCCAAAAACATAGCCATCCCCCCCCACCCCACCCCTCACACACATACGTCCCACAAGGAACCCCAAGCTTCGCCAGAAAATGGGAAGGTTAAACCTCGACGGCAGAGAGGCTGACAGCTGGAGGCGCAGGAGGAGCTGCTCCGTCTGTTTGTGGTCCGAATGGAACCAGCTGACCGGGAATATCGGGATACTGCCGGCCCACGTGTGGACTGGCTGGGCTATCCCCATGAAGCAAGCGCTTCGGGGACAAGATACGAGGGGGCAGAGTCCGAACCACACATCCTGTCTGGCTGAGCCTCGTCTCGCAGAATGTGAGGTGTACAGCCAAATACAGCTACCATGCTATTCTCCTGTGTCCCCCTGCCAAGGAAACACACATTCAGGCAAGTGCTGCCCCTCCCCAGGTCATGTGACTTAGGGATTGTAGCAGGCAGTATAGGCCAGAGTGCTGGGCTACACCCCGAACTGGATCCCAGTCCATTAGAGCACATACCGTGTGGTCATTGATGACAAGGTAGATTTAATAGTATAGCTGATTGGCAAGTTTATTCACTCCAAAAATTCTCCACTAATATTTATGCTGCTTCTGGATGAACCAAGGTGAAGCCTTGCAGTGTCTTAAAGCACTGAAGTGCTCTTTCAATTCAAAAGCCTGAGATTCTGAATGTTGGACACAAGATGCCCCCTGTAGTCTCTGTTGTGGTTAAATTACCTGGGAGTTTTGCCAGGCAGACAGGATGTTCCTCGTGCGAGATTGGGTCCACCAGGAAATACCATGCTACTCGCGCATATATTATTAATTACTTTCCATCAGAACCATCTGACTGCATCTGCGGCTGGATGTTTGATTATTTTATTGGGATTAGCCTGTGTTTATTGTGAAGTCCAGTGCGTCGAGGCTCTTTGAGCTGGCAGGTGAAATCTGAAGCATATCCTCTGCTCAGGTGATTTTTTTTATGGTGTGGAGTCAGGTGACTCTCTTGCCTTCCACCAGTTAGGTTACAGCCGGCCTGATGAATCATTCAGGCCACCGAGTGCAGAGGAGGCAGTTTAACACGTTATAATAATGGCCGTGTCCTGTTACGCCGCATGGAGAGGGATCCCTTACACTAATCTGGTAAGACGAAGCCGCTTTTCCACTCGCTCCGGCTCTCCTGGCCTAGCTGATGACGGCCACCTAGACTGGACACAAAGCAAATCGTTTCGTGTGCTCATGTGCCACCGGTTCTGCTCTGTGGCGTCCGCATGGATGACATGCAGGGGATAGGATGAAGCAAACATATCCGTTCTTTTGGGAGGATGTGGAGGTCCAGATTGCACCATAAAGGACACGATAAAGGAAGCTCCTGCTTACAGCAGTGCCCCGGAGAGAAGCGACGGCTTCATTTGCTCAAATCAAACCCGGGGCTGCGAATCCAGGCTGAAGCTCTCTGTTGATTCATGGCCTGGCTGCACTTTGAAGCAGCATCTGTCTCGTGTTCCAGGCCTGGTGACGCAGAGGGATCCAAATTCCCACAATTCATCTTTGCACCATGCATAAGCCGCCCTAGAGCCAGAAGGATTTATTGCATACATTGTAAGTCTTTTTAACAGATGATTATTAATTGATTAAACCATTATTTACTTTCACTCCTCTTCCATTACTGTATATCCAATGCAAGGCTGCAGCTCCCAGAAAGCACAGGAGGAAACACCCAGGAGAGGATGCCAGTCCATGAGGGAATCAAACCCACAACCCAGTGGATGTGAGAAGGCAGAGCTGCCCCTGGAGCCACCAATCATACCTCCTGTTTTAGGTCAGTTTACTCAACCTGGATCTGACGCTCAGTAACAAAGCCTGTCTTGGGACCTGAGCTGACGCCTTTCACATCACACTGGTCACATCCTTAAGAACCACGCCACCTGCTGTTGGTTTTCATTAAATCAAATTCTATAGCTAATTCTAAATGTCTAAATCAGGGTTGGGCAACCTTATCCAGAAAGGGCCGCTGTGTATGCGGGTTTTCGCTGCAACTCCCTAATTATATTACTAATTAGAGGACTGATTGGCTGAAGAGTCCTCACACCTGGGTTCGAAGAGCTGACTTACCGGTTATCCCAGAAACCTGCACACACACCGGCCCTTTGCGGATAGGATTGCCCACCTCTGGTCTAAATGCTTTGCATTTAATGCTAGTAACGCCCACAGTATTGCTATTATCAGTGAGTATCAGTAACAGCACAATGATAATGACAGTGTCATGGTAATTATAAGTAGTGGAAACATTGCCGCTGGTATTACTGCTAACTGCCGTGATCCTGCCGATCGGAGCCACACCAGCTTCTGGCACTTTCCCAGTCAGTTGCTACATTATCCACCAAATTCAGCAACAAAAGCGGAGTTAAATGGCTTGTGTGTTGCAACCGTTCCCCTGTGAGCTGCAATGCAGCAGATACCGTGGTGTTACACCCCTGTGTGTAAAAAGTCCCGGTCCGCAGGCGGATCTGATCCTCTCCTTCTCAGAGGCCAATTACTAACAGGGTTACTAACAATAGGAACAGTATCAGCACTACCATTAGGTCCAGTGTTCCACCATGCATAGTATGGCATCTCAAAGGAACAACAGTCCTTAAAGGCATGGACACACCTCTCTCCTTCTTCTGCTGTTGCAGGGCTGTCAGGGATACAGGGAACCTCGGCCGGACAATATGACGCAGGATTAAGGTCGTGGGAGCAGTATCGATCCACCAGATTGGTGGGACAGATATCAGTCCTTGTGATGGTGGGACAGATATCGGTCCACCTGATTGGTGGGACAGTTCCTGTGGTATCTGGGTGTGAGTTCACTGTCTCCTGACCGTGGGGATGGCTTCTGCATGTTATTCAGACGCATCTGTTTTGTCCCTCAGTGCGGATCGGGTGGTAAGGGGTCTCCAAATAGATAGAGGGTGGGGGTGGGGGTCATTCCGTGTGAGGTATTACTCTGGACTCCACAGAAGCATTGTCGTAAACATGGCTGTTTTTAGCAGCCGTGAAAGGCGGCACTGCGGAGGTCATGTGCGAGGGGGCTGTGTCCGGCTAGGGCCTCTGTGCCGACCTTGCGTGCTTTAAATACGGTGGGGGGACTGGGAGGCTTGTGTGCTGCAGTCCGGCCTGCCCCTGACAGGCTGCGTGCATCCCGACAGCATCGTCCAGCTCCTGCTTCCGTACCCGCTTGTTGTCTTTCTGTATTTGCAGGTCTCTGGTCTCTGCATTAATGTGCAGACTGCCACTCCGAATGCGAACAATAATCTTAAATAATTAAAATCAACTAACGTGTTTGTGCCCTTGACCTTGTTACCTGACACCCTGAGCGTGTGGCTTTGGGTCCAGTCCCTGCTCCCTGTTCGTGTGGCTTTGGGTCCAGTCCCTGCTCCCTGTTCGTGTGGCTTTGGGTCCAGTCCCTGCTNGTCCAGTCCCTGCTCCCTGTTCGTGTGGCTTTGGGTCCAGTCCCTGCTCCCTGTTCGTGTGGCTTTGGGTCCAGTCCCTGCTCCCTGTTCGTGTGACACGCTGGGTTTGATTGAATTCGGGCATGCCAGTGCTTCTGTCAGTGTGACAGCCTGATGGTCATATGAATATATTCTTGGCTGTTACTCAATCTGTATGGCTTGGTGTGAAATTGCCCCCCCCCCCGATCATGTGAGATTAACATGACACGGCACTTGCTCCGTCTCCCAGGAGAGGGGACAGTGGTGACATGGAAAGTGACTGGACCATGAAAGTCAATGACACGATCAGCCCCCCCCCACAAAGGCACCACCGGGCTGCCTTGAAGAGTTACACGCTGTAGTGGCACGGTGGTCAAACATCTTGCCCTCTCGCCTGAGCCTGTGGGCCACAGGGGGTCTGTGCTTGAATACACAAGTCCCCACGTTGGTTACATCCATTTATTCCCACTCTGTTCTCTATCTGCCCCCCAGGGCTTCTTTTTAATCTTTCACCACAGTAATTATTAGCTTAGCATATTTGCCTAGCACATTAGCTTAGCATATTCGCCTAGCACATTGCTAGCCTTTGACTGGTTGTGCTGGGTGGTGGTAAAGAGCACTGGGCAGTAACAACGACTGAATCGAATCTGGTATCTAATAACTCATTAATGTGATCACTTTGAGTAGGACGTGTTCCATAAGCATCACAGCTGTTGCTAGGAGTCTGAGGCTTGCAGAAGTGGGGGGTGTACGGCCAGGGTGAGTCAAGTGTGTTAAAAGTGTGACAACCGACCCCGTTCAGCAATTGGCCCCGGCCCCCCCCATTCAAAGGCCTTGACTGTTGGTGGCTCTCTGACAGACCTTCACTGTAACTGGCTCTAATCCCGCGGGGAGGGGGGGGGTTTGTTGCCTCGACACGGGTACTAAACCGAGTGTCCAGCTGTATAAACGCGCCAGCGAGGGAGGGGAAGCCACAGCACTGGACGGGAGCCCAGAGGCAACAAACATCACTGAGCTCCATCCAGCCTCCATGAAAATGATACGCTAGACGGAGATCACGTTTTTATAAGAATCCCGCTGATTCAATCCTGCCATCCTATCCTCTCTCCGTGAGGGGTAAACTACAGCATTAGCTTACAGACACAAACGTCGAACATCACCGGTCCCAGGTATGGTTACTGTCACGTACACGCACAGATTAAGTGTGTGACTGACATACCTCTGTACAGTCAATTTGCCAGCAACAGTGAGCTCCCCCTGGTTGCTGGGGGGGGTTTATTGTCAACCGAACGCTCGATTTCTGTGGTGACAAGGAGTCAAATCTCCTCACTCCTCCTCATGGAGCTGCTACTTTTGCATGGTCTACAAGGCAGGGTAGTTAATGAACAAGGTGCTGGATTCCCCCCCGGTTATGACGCTCTGTTACCGAGTTGTCACATTAACCATGGCCGAGTGACTCAGAGAAGAAACCTTTTTCA